TAGAGGGCGGATAATGTTGGCATCACGCGAGATACTAGCTCAACAAGCTTGGAACGTGATTCACAGGTGCGTGCCCGAGTAACGCCAGGACTTTGCACATTTTCTGATCCAAAGCGAAAAATTTACTATGCCATTCACATTTCAGAATGTCATTGAAACTGTGAGGACGATGACACTGGAAGAGCAAAGCCTCGGGGGTCTTGGAATATGGCACAGATTTACCACAAGAAAAGCAGGCAAAATCACTTGTCCACGAAGGCTCAATAACATGCGTCCTGACAGCACTGGAATCGGAAGCGCTCTGCACAAATTTGTTAAAGCATGTAAACAGGGATATCCCTTAATAGGTCCCCCCCAAAACCCTATATAGTCCCCTATAGGTCCCCCCCAACCTAGGTTTAGTCCGTAGCTCATGTAGGCCCCGCGGAAAATGTAAACAGTCTCTGCAGGGGCAGCTGTTGGGTTTAGACCAGTGTAGTGTTGTGTGAGGACCATACTGCACGTGGTTGCTCTTGAAGAATGACACGAACACCGCAGAATTCTTGACACTTGCATGAAATTTTTGAACCCCCAAAAGAACAAAGCCCTGACGCGTAGAATGCTGAATGCTTACTCATATCACTCGCTCGTAGCCTTTGTGCACTTGTACGATACTTCCGCCCACGAAGTGTGCAGTAACTTCAGTCCTCTTGATTGCCCTAAACTTTTAATACTTCCACAGGATCCGCCACAAATTTCCTCTATAAACGAGGAACCCCAAGCCACTAAACGCTCAAGCCATAGCCCGCCCCCAAACCTCCTCACCCCTTAAACCCCAAATAGTCGTTTCCATTTTTTTCATTATCCCTATATGACCCCTATATAACCCTGCATAGTCCGTATATAATCCCTATATAACCCTACACTTTAATTCCGGTATAATCCCCAAATATAATGCAACATAATCCCTATGTAATCCCTAAGCTTCCCTCCTATGATGGCTCAGCGGCCAGGTCCACGAGATCTAAGGACTCCCGGATGATGGACCGCAGCGGCGTGAAACCAAGTGAGGACAGGAAGACGTGGAGCTCGCCCGCATCTAAGCAGCCGTTCCCTGGGTCTCTGTTTGATAGGAGGATAGATAGGACTGTTTGCTACAAGTCATGGGTGGGGGGGTACATCGTCGTTGGGCTTTGCAGAATTTCCCCTGATTGAGTGTTCCTGCGACAAGCCAGCAAGGGAGGTTGCGTGTTATGAGGTTGGGGCAATATCTAGCGGCCTGAATAAAGAGCATAGCCTTTGCAAGGACCATTACCGCGTTTTACATAGAAAGATCGACACGCATGCCGGGCATGGTATGTCCAGATACTGAAGGCCAAAATCCTCAACGCCGGCCACTGCATGACAGTCGACTAACCGTCCTATGCCCCTCAGCTCTTGAGACACGCCAGTTGACGGCTCAACTTGAGAGCTGTAATGATAGCATTGCTCATAGTGCAAGTGTCCCAGAATCTGTTTCCCTGCTTGGGAGCTTCATGTAGGTAGATGTGGATTCTAGGCCCACGGACTGTACGAGCATGTCATTCTCAAAGTAGTCTTGGGATCATGGTAGATGCTGCTACTAACAATCCCCTTAAGCCGTGGCTGTAGGTTCTAGATGGTTTCTTTCACAGGGATGGCCCCCGTGTCCCGAAAACAAGGTAAAAGACAGACGAAGCCACTTTCACATGTTTTTGCCTCGGTATGCTGCTGGGTATTGCTTGCGAAGAGCCTGAGATGTGGGCGGGATTCTAGTCAGTCGGCTCATGACTTGTTCCTAAAACCTGCTGTATCGCACCTGCACGGAAAGTCAAGAGAGTTCAGCAAGGTGCTGATGCGTTTGGCCCAGCTGGTTTGTCTGCACTGCTCTCACGACTAGAACTCTCCGAGTTGTGTCCATATCGTTCTTTTTCTTCTGCTTCCTTGCCTGGCTAAACCCCATCTCACCGCCTGAAGACAAAGCCCAACCATCTTGATATTTACATGGGAACCCGTTCTTGCTCCTCTCCTGCATGATTTGAGTGAACTCTGTGGCCCGCACCATCCATGTCAAACCTCTCAAAGATATCCTTGAAGGCTTGTAGCTCGTACTCCACATGTTTCCTTGGAACCGTTAGGCTTCAGGGGTGTTTGACGTTCAGGGTCTTAGGGGAGTTTGGGTTTACATTCTTTTGCGGCACATGCGCCAAGTGCACACACTCTGCGTTGAAAAGTCTTTGTGATTACATGCTGCAATTTTGGGGCCAATGCTTGCTACATGGGGCCAAAGGGTCTTTCGGTTTGCGAGTCTTCGGCCTATAGTGAAGTTGGGGAGGCTGAATTGTTGCAGATTCCGCATACGAGCTCATGTTTCTCGAAACTTCTATTGAAACAGTAGTGCGCAAGCTCTGGTGGAAAACAACTTGGAGTTCCCAACCCTAAAAACCCAAGTTTCCAATCCTACGCTTCTGAAGCCTTGATATGATTTTCCCAGAGACAAAACACCCAAGCCCTGGACGCCAAGGAACATTACAACAATCCTGCTCAGTGGCTTTTGACCAATTAGGGCTCCAGTTTCAGTCCTGAAGATCAGGGCGATTCAGCGATTCAGCCAATCTTTCATTCGGGGTTATAGTACAATGACAATACAACTAATTCCTTCCTACTAGAAATTAGTAACTGAGAAGTACCCAAGTCTGGGGTGCAGCGTTGGCTTCTCCATGAAGGTCACGTACTCCCCCTTTTCCAGCATGGGATACCTGGAACGATGGGCAATTCACATGTTATCTGTTGCAGGTAGGGGTACAGAACCGATAAACCAAACCCTAAACACTAAACTGAAACCCTAGTAGGTTCAAGGGTCTGCGATGCCTTTGTGATGAAGCTGCTTCCGTTTATGGTTGAAAGTAGCACCTTCAACAAATACGGGACAACTGGTCAGACATTGTGTCCATGTTCAGAATAAAACCAAGGTGCAAATCTGGAGTACGAACTCAGAAAAGTCAGCAAACTTTAACTGCACGTAACAAGCTTGGCCCATGCTTGACTCAGCGCAACTGCTGCGTAAATGCTTGCTTCCACGAGGGTTCAGAAGTACATACGCCGACAGCATCCAATCTGTTGAGCTCACGAACCCAAATCCCAGAAAAAAGACCATCCGATGGTCTTGAAAGTCATTGCATGGGTATCACGTTTACTCGGAATTGTGGCAACCAAAACCTCCAGGCATCTTCAACGCTAACTCCCATAATGAGGACCCTGTACCGATCACGTGACTATAACAGCCTCCGAATTGTTGGCGGCTTGGGCTTACCAACATCCTCTTCTTTAACAGAACCACCACAAATGAACAGCCCTCTTTAAGGAAAAGAACATGGAAACTACTATTACCCATAATCGTTTCCATGTTCTTTCCCATTCCTCCATTCCCAGCTAACCAAAGGCTGCTTTTGGGCTTCCATGATGTTGGTAACCGAAAGGTCGGACATCAAAACCCCGCGACTTAGGACCACCTCCAATCTGAAGCCTGAAACATATAGGGTTTAGGGTTTAAGGTCTATAGGCTTTAGGGTTTAAGTTTTAGGCTTTAAGTTTTAGGGCTTAAGGTTTGGGGTTTAGGCCGGAAGAATCTTTTTGAAGTAGGCCGACCGCCATATCCCCAAGGCTTGAGGGCCTCTGCTAATGTTAGACTTGACCAGATGTGGCTTGGTCTAAAATGCTGTCCCCATAGGGGGGAAATTCAGATAGGTACCCGTGCTATATCAGGAGCCCCACTAGAATGACAAACAAGTAAAGAATTCAGGGAGAAGCCCAAGCTTTCAAGAGATGTCACGCCTTGAAATCTCGTCTGCAAGCTCTCGCGCGCGTTCATCGTTGATCTGCGTGTAGCCCAGATGCATGAGGACCTTTGCCCCCCACCTTCCCCGCACGCGCACCGTCCCACTCCCCCTCAACAATAAGAAGAACTGCTGATAAAATGATGGTGTCGGTGGGATGGTTGGCTTTGGGGCCAAGATTTGCCGCTGGGCTTGGGATTCACGACTCAAGGTCTATTACATAAGCTAGAGTCAAAGTCTAAAGTCCTAGTATCCCCCTTCTCAATACCTATAGTAGTCCCCTGTATAATCCCCTTTCAGGACTTTAGATTATGGCTCACATAAGTCTCCAAGCGAAGCGGAACATCATGCAATGCCTAGGTCTCCATAATTCGCCGCGTCTAACTGCGCAGCATAGCAGTACTATGCAAGATGTCTCCGCAGAACAATGATGTGATGTTGATCCAGCATTTCCCTAGATCCCGTCTGTAGCTATTTGGCAACATCCTTTACATGAGGTTGTACAAATACAAGATCTTGAAAATCCGAGCCATAAACCATGCACCCCACATCAAGCCAAATTTCTGAACAGGCCGCTCCAAAACCATTACACTTTGCTCGTCGCAGCTAATGCTGAATCAAGAAACCATGAACCTCTACGTAGCTCTGTCCTGGAACTACTTGACCATTCAATACTGGTGAGGAACACCCTCATAATCCCCAAGACCCCATGCCTATTCCTAGTCCCCAAGGGCTACCTGGACCCCCAAAAGCAGCTACAACAGAGTCCCAAAACCTAGAAAAACGACCCAACAAAACAACTATTCTTCCTGCTACTTTGGGATCCAGGCATATCCTGCATCCCCCCTAATCTACGCCTAAATTTTCCAAGGCTACCTAGTGCAACCCTAAACCCTAGACCTTATCCCATCCCTCACACCTTCGGCAGCTCATCCTTATGAATCTCCGGGTTGTCCGGGTCCTTAAAACCTGACGTAATCGACTTGGGATGATCTGAGCCATAGTCTAAACTCCGTACAAGGGGCTTTCTAGGGTTTTTTTCATAGGGGAATTATTAAGGAGGATATTATAGGAATTCAGACTACAGCTCCTCTAGAAATTTACAGGGCTTAGGGGTTTAGTGCTTCGAGGTTTGGGGGTTTTGGCTTTGCGGGCTTTGGAGATAATTACTGCGGCTTCAGAGGTTTAAGGTTTAGGGCTCCGGGATGGTATTCTGGCTTTATGGGTTTAAGGTTTAGGGTTTAGGGTCTAGGGTTTAGGGTTTAGGGTTTTAGGTCTTTAAAATTTGGGGTGTTAGGGTTTAGGATGGGTACTCCCCCCCTTAGTAACAGTTGGATAATAAGTATATAATATGGTTATATATAGCCCTTAATAGGACCCCTAGTATAGACTGTTACTGGTGGGGGCAGTACCCAAGGTTTAGGGCTTTCAGGTTTGGGTCTCGGTGTTTCAGAGGGCTTGGCTCTTGGGTTTCAGGGCTTCAGGGTTTAGGATTTCAGAGTTCAGCATACGAGGTTTTAGATGTGCGGTTCTAGGGGAAAAGGGCTTCCGGGTTTAGCCGAGTGTTACTTCCGGATTTGTGGCCTCAATTCGGGGGTTTAAGTAAATAGCTTCTGCAGTTAAACGCTAAGCCCCAAACTATGAACCCTGAACCCTACGCTTAGACCCCCGAACCCTGAACCCCAAAAGCTACCCAAACACCAAATCCTACAGCCTAAACCTTAAGCCCTAAATCCTATGAACCCTCAATCCTATAAACCCTAAATCCTACAAGCCCTAAATCCTGTATAAACCCTACACCGCTCAGAAAGTGGCGCTTCAACTCACAGTTTGGGGTTGAGGCAGTTAAAGCTTTGGGTTTAGAATGGTTCTAGGGGTTGTGCGTTGGTTTAGTTTGTTTTTGGTTTTGGGAGTTCAGGGTCTAGGGTTTAAGGTGGTTTAGGGTTTTCGATGGTGTTGGGAGTTTAGGGTCTAGGGTTTAGGGTGGTTTGGGGTCGAAGGCCCGGAGGCCTTGAGCATGGAGCTTTGTCTAAGGGGCAGGGTTCTGCTTGCTGGCTTTTAGCAGGAAATGTACAAATGGACAAGATTATGGAAACTGGTATAACCCTGAGCCCTAAACCCTATAGTATTGGGGAGTATACAGGGGCTGCTGGGATCCATTCTTCCACCGCTACTAACATCCAGCAAATTTGCACAGGGGAGTGCATTTGGGGCTTAGGAAATAGGGCTCGGTGCTTGCGCTCGGGGATGGGGGGGGGTGGTCTTAAATCATACACAAAGAATACTAAACCTTTGACACTACATCAAAAGCTACATCCTGAGATAAACCCTAAACCCTAAACCATCAGAGGATAGTTGTGGGAGCCCTTGCCCTCCATCTGCTAGCCGAAGGGCGCTGGAAGGCAGTGTTGATTCGCTCCATCCTCAAATCTCATTGAGCTCAAAGAGCAAGGGTTTAGGGTCAGGGTGGGAGATATGGGTGGTTGTCAAACTTATTTGGATCCCTATTATAATATGGCACCTAATGTTTAGGGTACCCAAAAACACCCATGTAGGGTTTAGGGTTTCAGGTTTAGGGCGGCCTACAGCTTAGTCTCAGGAGGATCCTAGTTTTCAGGCATGCCCAAAACACGTATACCCTGGGACAGAGCCCAGGCTCCAAAAATTGCTGCCTGATGGGCTTTACATCCTTGCGCTTGCGCAGATGGTGTCTATGAACACAGAGGGTACCAATCTTCAAGCATTCCGAGCTTGGTGTCGAATTGTATCCATGTCATGCCGCTGAAGCTTCGTCGGTCATTTGACAGGGACTCCTAGTATTGCGGCTTATCCTGCTTGCAGATCTTCTATATCTGGCCTACTTTATGTATCCCTGGAGCGACCCCAATTTTTGAGACAGCTCCAAATGAGTGTGTGCCCGTCCGAGCGTCTCTGTGGAAGAAAAACCTTCTGCGCCAGCACGTAACCGTGAGATCACCTGGCCGGAGGAGGATGTCTTATTGGGGTTAGAGGAGGAATGGAACCATTTTGGCTCAAGCCTCATCGGCACAGGAGTTTGGCAGCTTCCAGCAGGGTTGGGAAAATGCTCAGACGGCTATCATCCGTGAATAATGCTTGAGTCTGTCGAGCACAGCAGTGCGCAACATCCTCCTGTGTAGCAGCAGTCAGGAGCAAACCCTATGGTCTCGCTCGGAAGTGTCCACAGGTCGAAAAAAGTGCGATGCTGTGTCGGGTTGAGTTCACAACCGCGTGCTCACATTTGTGACCGGAGAGCTCCCCAATTCATTCCGAGAGAATTCGGCTTTCAACATTCCTACGCCGTCAGCTCTTGTTTTCTTTTTCGCCGTGGCTACAGCTGCATTGACAGCTCTGAACTTGTGAGGCAGGGGGAATGGCAAAAAACACAAATTGCACTCCAAAACCAGGCTTTCCAACCCCCGGCCCATGATTCTCCTGAACCCTTTGAACGCCAATCCCCAAGCCCTACACCCTGCAATCCTTGCGGACAGCTTGCACAGAACCCAGAAGCGAAGAATCCCTGAGCCCTAAACCCTTATTGTCCCCCTTAAGTAGATCGCATATGGCTTTGGGTATATTATGATAAGATCGCCATATTCTATCTACTTAAGGAGGACCATAAACCCAACTCCCCCCTCCCTAAACCCTAAACCCTAAACCCGAAGCCCTAAACCCTAAACCCTAAGCCCTAAACCCTAAACCCTGCCCCCGTCCACCTCTGTGATGTCCGGAAGCCACTGCGCCAACTCTGCAGGTTCTCTGTTCAACTTCAGCTTAGGCTCTGCTGGCAGCTCCTTGTTTTGGGGGGGTGGGGGTGGGGTTAGGGTTTATTTAGGGTTTATAGTTTAGGGTTTAGGGTGCTGGGGTGGGGTGGATTTGAGGTTGACCAGGGTTATTTGGGGATTAGGGTTTAGGTCTTGGAGCTGAGTGAAGGGCAACCTAAAAGGGAGGTAGACGGGGGAGGGTAAGAGAACCTGTGACTTCCCTCCCCCAAATACTCTACCGCAATACCTCTACAACATATCGCCGAAATCCGCGTGCTTTTCATTATCAGGGGGTGGCGGGGGGTATGACTACAGGAAGTAAGGGACTGTCTTGCAGGGCTGGCACTTGAAGGAATGGAGGACTGTGGCCCTCTATTTTGGGTTTAGGGTCTAGTGTGCAGGCGATGGGTTGCTTTGTGAATGGGCGAACGTCAAAGCAGGAGAGCCAACACCGCACGCCTTTACGCGGAAGGGGCAATCCACACCAGTCAGTCTAAACCCTACATAGCGACCTAAACCCTTAAACCCTACACCATTCCCTAATCCCGAGAGGCACGCGTCCGCCCTTCAATCCAACGCTTCAACTCCAACATCCTACAACTCACTATACTGCACATGAAAGCTTGATTGAGATCAGGCATGTAATGGCTTGTTTGCATGATAGTGGGCTAATGCTCACCAAAAGACACGTGGCGCGCTGTATCACAAACGGTACCCGTGCATACCATGCGTATTTCATGTACCTGACTTCCTTGTTGAGAAAGAACAAGGTCAGAGTCGGTTGACTTGTGGCTCCTGTGGAGACTCCTCCTCACCGAAGAGCTTGCCATCAGAGCAGTCCTGAACTTACTGGTTCTTCATGTTTGCTGCTTACTGGGGGGTTACGCGGGAAAAAGGAAGGATGTGGGAAGAAAATTCCCAATTTGCAAACCAACCCCCAGCAAGGCTGGGGCGTCTGGATTTTCCGCAAGTGCCTACTTGGATCCTGTGGATGCCATGGGGTAAAAACAGAGAAGCAAAGGACAAAAGCCTCAAAGGCAAGTTCTACTGGTTTGGCATTCAGGCCTCAATCTTGCCTGTTGAGTAAGAGAATGGGAACGCTCGGAAGGCCTTGTAGAACTTTAGTCAGCTCAGCAAGAGCTATCCATAATATGATCTTCGGCGCTAAAAACCAAGAAAGGGAGCTGGCCCGAAGCTAGAATCCCTGTATAACCCCTATAATAGTCCCCTGCAATAGTCCCACTAGTTTATAGGCGGTGATAAGAGCAACCAGTATGGCTAACCCCCAGAACCACAAGAGTCGTGTAGGGTGAAGCGATAGTAGGCCAACACCTCGAACCTTTGACCATTTCAGAATTTCCTCACCAAACAAAGTAGCGTATGCTATCATGGTGTACCCTCACTAAGCCCTCTACGGATAATTCAGGAATTGCTGTTTGTTTAATACTTCTTTGTTAAAACACCAAGCAATTCTCACAAGCTGTAAAATGTTCGGACAGAATTCAGGACTGAAGGCCCGTGAATAGGCCTTGAGTCATAGACTCCCAATGACCTTGCAATCGTGCTATCTTGCTATGGGCCACAACGAGCATCCACTGTAGGGATCTTAGTACCAGCGAATCCCATCTTCCGGCACTACGCCACAATATCTTGCGTCTCCAACATTCATAAAACTAGAAAGTTTAGGATTTAGGGTTTGGCCAAAGGACACGACAACTTCGACCCACAAAAAACTTGTTGCCAGGGCACTGTGCTGGCTGCCTGCAAGCAGACTAGCAGCTTGAATGTCTGAATTACGCCACTCCGCAGCATCTTGAATGAAAAGCTGGGGACCACAGGTTCAGGACCCAAAGCCTTCAATGGGGGTTTCCTAAAACTAGAGCCCCCATGATCAGGATCATAATATTTTGGGGTCTATGTTGGGGTCCCCTGTTTAGAGAAACTACNNTGTTGCATTTTCCTTTCCATTTGATCATCCAAGAGCTTCGTGTCGATGAGGTGAGTATTTGGCTGTTGGGAGTTGCCGCGATGTGACTTCACAGTTCTCGAGCCTGTGCAACCTGATTGAGAATTGGGCTGTCTCAAGGTATCTAAGAGCTGGATCGTTGCAAATAATCTTGGCCAAAGCAACGTAGCATCGTAACAATCTTGAAAATGCTTGTGGTCCGAATTTCCTGAATCCTGCATGCATAGAGAGGCCCACCAGTACCTGCACTGTGCATAATGCTGACAGCTGACGGTGAGAAGGCACAAAGAATCCAGTAGGGAAAATCTCTGTTCAAACTGGTGGTCGTGAAGGTCAGCGAAGGTCAATCAATCACTCTTGATCTTGTTCATTGGCCACAACTGAAAACAGGAGCTCTCTTCACTCAGCACAGTAGGTAAACCAGTAGTTTCCAGGACCTGGAAGGTACCACACAGTTGTAGGTTGGATTGACGTCTCTTTAAACTTTTCTAAGCTTTAAGTGCCCCCTGGATATTGGGATTATGGGATGCTCTCAATGAAGTCTAGCCCCAAACCAAAAAGCCTGAACTCTAAACCCTAACTCACATAGCCCAACTTGACCGCTATACTGGGTTGCTGTTAAG